CATGTCCATGTATATCCTTGCCATCCGTTCTAATAGCCTAGTTAAAACTTTGTAAACTGTTTTTTTTTTGCCTAAAAAATAAAGTCCAATGGAAATATTTTGAAAAACGCATTTTTTAACAACTAGCACAGAATTCAACACTCTTTATCTTGGTATTTGATGATTATTCAGTGACGTTGTCTACGTTTTGTGGCTTCTTTAGGCATCTGCTTAATAAAATTGCGCACTTTAAGTTCGATCGGCAAACAACAAAGAAGGGAAAGCAAGCGAGATGTGCTCGCCATTTTCGACTGCTTTCTGGCGAAAATCTCTGGAAAACTATCAAAGTATAGGCTCAACACGAAGCGAAACTCACCAAGAAAGCATCCGAGAAGATATCGTCGAATTTTCTTTCGACAAAGATAGCGAAAGCTTTCGAAATTTTACATCCCCAAGAGAAATTCTGAGCGAGACGTGGAGAGATCGCATAGCAGAAAGGTTACCTCTGTGGACCGACGTTGATTCGACTCCAGCCAGAAAAAGAGTTCGCTGTCCGCCATGTTTCAAGTCTAGCCTTGGTCTATTCCTTACAACCGCATCTGGTGTTCTTTTCGCCATCGCTTCTCTGTTTGTCAAGCTTTCAAACACAACTATTCCAGCGTTTGAGATCGTGTTTTTTCGCTTGGTAATTCAAACGCTTCTAGTCCTTCCGGCGGCTGTTTGGGCAAAAGCTGATTTACTCGGCAAGAAAGAACATAGACCTTACCTTATATGCTTTGGCGCGGTGAACTTTGCTTCTATTTCCTGTATCTATGGTTCGTTTACCAAACTACCTTTAGGAGATGCCACCGTTTGTATTTCTACTACGCCGATTTTTACAGCATTTTTGGCCTATGTTTTCCTGAAAGAATCTTGGCATATTTTTGATGCAGTTGCGACTTTTGTTTGCATCGTTGGAGTGGTACTCATAACCAGGCCTACATTTATATTTGGAACTTCAGGTAAGGAATTCACAGAAAACTGAATCAATGATCTTTAAAAACAAAAATCACGGCCGGCTAAGTTTTGTAAATTAAGTTAGTAGCTTACATTAAAACTGTAAACGAAGCATGATTTTATTGCATTTTTTAAATGTTGGCATTAGGGAAACTTTATTTGACGAGGGACTAAGTTCCTGATTAATTCAAAAATACAACAAGTTTGCAACTAAGCGTATAAAAACACATTTTTATATTTTGCGTTTCACTCTCCTACTGACGCAACGTCGCAGTTTCCTTTTTCTTCTGTAATCTCAGTTCTTTTCCTCGCTTAATTTCCATTGAATGTCTCGAAATCACTAGTATTTATAATTGTTTCTCCTTAATCAGAACGTTTTTTGGGGAGATTGCAACAGGCTAAAGAACTTTTTAATTCTGTTTTTTTTTCTTTGCAATAAGTAACTAAGTAACCATTTATTCGAAATCCCTCTTCCACGATTTTAGCTAAACCAAGTCATGTGACCGAGACTGCTCATTTGATTGGCTATGGTATTGCGATGTCAGGAGCCGTGGTCCAATCACTGACGTTCATCATGGTCCGTCGTGTGGCAGGCTCAGTCAGTTTCTACACCAATGTGTTTTACTTTGGTTGGTGTAGCGCGCTGCTTTCTGGGATGGCTATGTTTGCATTTCAAAAACCTGTTATTCCGGAATGCGGGGCAACAAGATGGTTTCTTATTGGTGTTGGTAAGAAATAGATAATCAGTGAGCTTACGCAACAGGACGGCAGAAAGAAAGGGACGGCAAAACGTTTGTGTGTGAAACAAACGTGACAGGGCTATTACTTGCGTGTTTTGTCGCGATCTTCACTTAACATTACTGTGTTTTGGTCCTCTACAAAAAGATCTGTGTGAAGCAATTGAAAGTGAAGTTTGGCGGATTTTTTTTTCAATCATAATTATGATCACGCTTGTCTCACACCGTTTGCCTTCTTCTTTCATCTGCCGCCCCATTGCATAAGCTCACTTAAATATGAATCGAAAGTCGATCGCTTTCTTTATTTCTGAACATAGACTTTCGTTGTCAGTTTTTATTAGAGTCAAGTTGGACTTGCCCAATAATCGAACTCGAAAGGCTCGCAAATGATCAAAAACGGTGAAGCGTTTTCATTCACGAGATTTCTGAATTACTTCTAAAATGTATGAGCGCGAGAGGTGTTTTTTTTATAGGTATACACGCAAAGCCTCGTTCACACGAAAAGCGTTTTAGATAACCCACCCCTAAGTTATGATAAATTTATTCACTGCAGAGCACCCTTAAATCATCCTTGGGAACAGAAACGTTAAAAACTGGCGGTGCCGTGCCAGGAGTGGAAACAAAAAACCTTAATTATTAATAAAACCACTGCAGATCTACGTCTTGTTTAAAAAATCTGACCGTGAAAACTCTTTCACTATTAAAATATGGAAGTGTCTTTCGCAATCATTTTAATGAATGGCGTTTCGTTCACTCGTTCTGTTTCCTTGCAGCTCTGTGCGGTGTGTTTGGAAGCTTGTGTTTGAACCGCGGTCTACAACTTGAAAAAGCCGCTCCAGCGGCACTAATGCGCAATGTGGATATTCTATTGGCCTTTGTGTTTGATTACGCCATATTTGGTCAACAGCCTCGAGTCCTGACTCTGCTGGGGGGGTTATTGGTGATGTTGTCAACAGGTGGAGTGGCACTGGCCAAATGGTGGCGGTCACGTGACAGTCTGTAAAGACTCACGTCGAATACTTTTGTTCTTGGGCATCGAGGCCTAATCAAAAATAAAAAACAAACAGCGTTGATAAACGTTGTGAGCTTTCGCATTTTTTCGTCGGTCAAGATACACTTTCAAAACTGATCAAAAGTACGTGATTTGCATACCGAATGTCAAATTTATTTAAAAATGCGAAAGTTCACAATGTTTATCACCGCTGTTTGTGTATAATTTTCGATGTAGTTGTTTCATGTGATCCGTATAGCCGTACTTACTGCGGTAGCCCTTTTTAAAACCTGTTTCTTATTTTAGACATTGATAACAAGACAGCGAAGACAAAAGCCACTTGAAATTTCCCATGAGCCGGGTTTTCCCAAAAATACTCAAGTCGCTTTTTTTCTTTGTTCCCTTGATAATAATCTTTGATTTTGTCTTGGATAAAACAGCAGGATCTAGATGTCGTCATCTTATGTAAAAAGCTTCAAGCTTTCTTTTTTTAGCTTACGAAAGAGAATTATCGGACTGTTCAACTCCTCGTCTCGGCGTTAGAATCGTGACTAATGACCGGCTAGTGCCTTGTGGTACACATGGGTGGTATCAAGAGCCATAATGGTCCCATTATGGCCCTTGGTGGTATAAATAGACGTGACGAACCTAATAAAATTAATGACGTGTACTTTTTTCCTATACTATTATTTTTTGTTTGCTCTTTTTTTTTATCTCGGATATTCATATCGTATTTTTTAGCTCCTGTAGAAGAGTTATTTACAAAAAAAAATATCGGGTAAACGCTTTTTACCGTTTTTTTCGTTCAATTGCTGGTTTTCAGTGTCACGCCATTCAAAATAGATCAAAATAAAAATCAAAACCCTTCAATAGATAAAGTCCAGAATCTGGGAAATGAAAGGAGGTACATATACAAAGACCCTCGCCAAGATTCAGGTCAGAGGAATATTTCGTATACGAGATATCCGAAGAAATGTTTTACCCAAATTTATAGAGATTTGTATGGAGACGCCATGCTGGTGCTCACCTGGATGAGCTCCAACATGGCGGACGGAAACCAACAAAACATCTGTTACCCAGTTTTGCTACAAAAGCGTGAATTTATTCTTCGAGAAACTCATAAACATTAAAGTAATACTTTTTCTAATACATGAACTGTTTAGATAGCAAAATTTCCTGAATAAGTCATTATTTTAACCTACATGACAGGGAGTCTCTTGGTCGTCATCCCGGGGCCGTCATGTAAATGCCGCGTCAGCTAAAAAAACTTAGAAATTCAAGCGTACTCTATCACAAAACCAAGAACCCTTTTGAAGCGAGAATTTGTATGAAAATTAGTTTTCAACTGCTCTAATGCATCGTGAAAGTAAAATCTCCGTAGGATCGATAGTTTTTAGTTTGAATTTTAGTGACGTCATGTGAAAACCAACAATCGTTCTTGCCGCAAATGTTAGTTTACTGTTGTTTTTCTTAGTATTCGAGATTTTTACAAGTCTACCAAAGATCCTGTACTCCTAACTCGCATGAGCCTCGTCATTCTGTCAAGACCTGTCAATGATGGTGTTTAAAAGGGTAAGGGGGTGGGACCTCGGGGCGGAGCCCCCCTATTGCTGTTTTTTACATGACGTCTCTAAAATTTAAACTACAAAACTATCGATCCTACTGAGATTTTACTTTCATGGTGTATTAGAGCAGCTGAAAACTAATTTTCAAACAAATTTTCGCTTCAAAAGGGTTCTTGGTTTTGTAATAGAGTACGCTTGAATTTCTTCATATTTTTGATGCAGTTGCGACTTTTGTTTGCATCGTTGGAGTGGTACTCATAACCAGGCCTACATTTATATTTGGAACTTCAGGTAAGGAATTCACAGAAAACTGAATCAATGATCTTTAAAAACAAAACCTACGGCCGGCTAAGTTTTGTAAATAAAGTTAGTATGATTTTATTGCATTTTTTAAATGTTGGCATTAGGGAAACTTTATTTTACGAGGGACTAAATTCCTGATTAATTAAAAAAATGCAACAAGTTTGCAACTAAGCTGATAAAAACACATTTTTATATTTTGCGTTTCACTCTCCTACCGACGCAACGTCGCAGTTTCCTTTTTCTTCTGTAATCTTAAGCCGGCCTGAAAAATACTCACTCCTTTTCCTAGCTAAATTTCCATTGAATGTCTCGAAATCACTAGTATTTATAATCGTTTTTCCTTAATCAGAACCTTGTTTGGGGAGATTGCAACAGGCTAAAGAACTTTTCAATTCTTTCTTTTTTTTGCAATAAGTAACTAAGTAACCATTTCTTCGGAATCTCTCTTCCTCGATTTTAGCTAAACCAAGTCATGTGACCGAGACTGCTCATTTGATTGGCTATGGTATTGCGATGTCAGGAGCCGTGGTCCAATCACTGACGTTCATCATGGTCCGTCGCGTGGCAGGCTCAGTCAGTTTCTACACCAATGTGTTTTACTTTGGTTGGTGTAGCGCGCTGCTTTCTGGGATGGCCATGTTCGCATTTCAAAAACCTGTTATTCCGGAATGCGGGGCAACAAGGTGGTTTCTTATTGGTGTTGGTAAGAAATACATAATCAGTGGGCTTACGCAACAGCACGGCAGAAAGAAAGGGACGGTAAAACGTTTGTGTGTGAAACAAACGTGACAGGGCTATTACTTGCGTGTTTTGTCGAGATCTTCACTTAACATTAGTGTGTTGTGGTCCTCTAAAAAAAGATCTGTGTGAAACAACTGAAAGTGAAGTTTGGCATATTTTTTTTCATCATAATTATTATCACACTTGTCTCACACCGTTTGCCTTCTTCTTTCATCTGCCGCCCTACTGCGTAAGCTCACTTAAATATGAATCGAAAGTCGATCGCTTTCTTTATTTCTGAACATAGACTTTCGCTGTCAGTTTTTGTTAGAATCAAGTTGGACTTACACAATGATCGAACTCAAAAGGCTCGTAAATTATCAAAAACGTGAAGCATTTTTATTCACGAGATTTCTGAATTACTTCTAAAATGTATGAGCGCGAGAGGTGATTTTTTATAGGTTTACAGGCAAAGCCTCGTTCACACGAAAAGCCTGTTAGATAACCCACCCCTAAGTTATGATAAATTTGTTCACTGCAGAGCACCCTTAAATCATCCTTGGGAACAAAAACGTTAAAAACTGGCGGTGCCGTGCCAGGAGTGGAAACAAAGAACTTAAGTATTAATAAAACCACTGCAGATCTACGTCTTGTTTAAAAAATCTGACCGTGAAAACTCTTTCACTATTAAAATATGAAAGTGTCTTTCGCGATCATTTTATAAATGGCGTTTCGCTCATTCGTTCTGTTTTCTTGCAGCTCTGTGCGGTGTGTTTGGAAGCTTGTGTTTGAATCGCGGTTTGCAACTTGAAAAAGCAGCTCCAGCGTCACTAATGCGCAATGTGGATATTCTATTGGCCTTTGTGTTTGATTACGCCATATTTGGTCAACAGCCTCGAGTCCTGACTCTGCTGGGGGGACTATTGGTGATGTTGTCAACAGGTGGAGTGGCACTGGCCAAATGGTGGCGGTCACGTGACAGTCTGTAAAGACTCACGTCGAACACTTTTGTTCTTGGGCCGTCGAAGCTTAATCAAAAATAAAAAACAAACAGCGTTGATGACCATTGTGAGCTTTCGTATTTTTTCTTATGCTAGTCAAGATACACTTTCAAAAGTGACCAAAAGTGATTTGCATACGGAACGTCAAATTTATATAAAAATGCGAAAGTTCACAATCGCTGTTTGTCTATAATTTTCGATGTAGTTGTTTCATGTGATCCGTATAGCCGTACTTACTGCGGTAGCCCTTTTCAAAACCTGTTTTCTTATTTTAGACATTGCTAACAAGACAGCAAAGACAAAAGCCACTTGAAATTTCCTATGAGCCGGGTTATCCCAAAATACTCAAGTCGCTTTTTTCTTTGTTCCCTTGATAATAATGTTTGATTTTGTATTGGATAAAACAGCAGGATCTAGATGTCGTCATCTTATATAAAAAGCTTCAACCTTTCTTTTTTTAGCTTACAAAAGAGAATTATCGACTGTTCAACTCCTCTTCTCGGCGCTAGAATCGTGACTGATGACCGGCTAGTGCCTCGTGGTATACATGGGTGGTATCAAGAGCCGTAATGGTCCCATTACGGCTCTTGGTGGTATAAATAGATACTATATATATATATACTATTATTTTTTGTTTGCTCTTTTTTTTTTATCTCGGATATGTAAAGTTCATGTCGTATTTTTTAGCTCCTGTAGAAGACTTGTTTACAGACCCCTTTACAAAAAAAATATCGGGTAAACGCACTTTACCGATTTTTTCGTTCAATTGCTGGTTTTCAGTGTCATGCCATTCAAAATAGATCAAAATAAAAATTCAAACTACAAAACTATCGATCCTACTGAGATTTTACTTTCATGGTGTATCAGAGCAGCTGAAAACTAATTTTCAAACAAATTTTCGCTTCAAAAGGGTTCTTGGTTTTGTAATAGAGTACGCTTGAATTTCTGAGCTTTTGCGTGACGCAGCATTTACATGACAGCCGAGAGAGCCGTCAGATATCGGAAAGTGACGCGAAATGGTGAGCGGAGGGAAAAAATTGCTGAACTATCGCCTGTATCGCCTTTAGAGGCACGCCCTTCTCAGATATTTACCCATCAACCAATGCAACCTCATCCCTTCAATATGGCGGATGTTGACAGCTTGCTACTCTCGTTGATCGAGAAAGAAATACCAGAAGGTCGCCAGGCTTTGAGAGATGGGCACGAAAACCTGGCTAAAGTGGCAGCTTACTGCGAGCAGAAGTACATAGAAACGAATAATCGATATAAATCGGGCTCTGATCGTGGACAAGCGCTAAAAGAGACCAGTGCTGTCCTGACCGAGACGAAACAGTTTGCGACACAATCTTTGGCTAGTGTTGCCTATCAGATAAATACCTTGGCTCTGAACATGTTGAGTCTGTTAGATCAACAAGTCTTGAAAATGCAGGATATGGAATCAAGGATAAATCACATCGCCGAGGTACGTTTGCCACGTTGATAGAAAGGTTTTATACTTAAACCTTAAAAGCTGGGTAGGTCTGGGTACAGTATTGTCGCTTTGATTTGGAGCTAAATATCTATCCGTAGTGAACCAAGTTGTATATTTATAAGTTTTCACGAACGATATCAAGGGTAAAACTGAAAAGCGATTCTCTAAAAAAAAAGATTAAGAAGCATTTGTGTCCAAGGAAACAGAGTTTGGAGGTGGTATTTGGCAATTTTCCCGATCCCTTACGCAGTGTCTTCCGTCCGGAAATTCTTTTCTCATTTGTACCTACCTCAAATTGAATTTATTTTTATTTTATAAAGAGATCAGAATAATTTATCCTCATTTTATAAAGAAAAGAGCTCTTATTTGCACTCTTCAAAATATGTGTGCTCAGTGATTTGAATGGATGACGTTTTGCATTCTATCCAGTTCACAGATGTTCTATTTTATTATTTAATAGAGATAATCAAATGTGTGTATGAACAATTTTAGGGACCAAAATTTAATTTTTGGAACATTCACTATCTGACTGAGTGGCAATCAGACTGTACTTGCACAGATATGTTTTCACTCACAAAATACCCACTTGCTTCGGCCATCTAGTTAAACCAAATTAAATTAAGTAAAGGAGACGACTATGCTGCTGTTATTGTTATTTTTTACTGGTGTTTACTGAAAGTACACCATCATTTGACGATCATTTGCCAAGGCTGCTCTACTTTCCATATTGTAACTTATCCTTTAAGATCTATAGCACCCATTAACATCAAGGGAAGCTGTTGTTTGTGTAGTCATTGCAAGTTTCTTGGTTTTATTAAATCTGATCCACAGTGAACTACTAATAGTTTGCTTGAGGGATTTCTTGCTCTCAATCAGCCTGCCCTCAGTTGTTATCCATTGGACAGCAGTATCCACCATATTAGTCACTATCCGGTGGATCACTGTCATTTGTGTTATCCACGGGAAAGAGATATATCCAGTAGATAGCATTATCCACCTTTAAATATTGTTTTCCGCTGCACATTTAAAAAACATCACCATTTTTATGCTATAAGTTCATCATCATTCTTATTTGTTTATTAGACTGTTGATATCCACAAGGAAAAAGTGGCACGGAGAGAAATTGGTGTCTTGGCTTCTAGTAAAATGACAGGACGAACACATAGGATCATAGCTCCAGCTGAGCAGGAAAAAGCTATGCGATATGCTCGAAGGACCACAGACTACTCTATCCTGGATAACATAGGTATAATAATGTTAAAAACCATCATTCCAAAGCAATTCTCTCTCTGTATGTTAAAAGTTATTCCTTGCAGGAAAGGAGGCAGCGTGACCAAGTGGTCAGCATGTTGGACTTACAATCTGGCGGTTCCGGGTGTGGTTGCAGGTCTGGTGGTCCTGAGTCCCTCTGGATTTGTTCTCATTTTTATGAATGGGATTCCCTGTTTAAATAAAGATGATTGATTGATTGAAGAATTTTTGGAATTTCTGGTTAGATCAAAGTTTAGAAATAATTCACAATGACATCATGCTTTCATGTTATATTTTAGTAGGTAGAGGGATTGAGGGCGAGAATTGCATTGTTGAAATGGTTACAGTTACTAATAATGCCATTAAGAATGGCGGGAACTACACTCCTGAAATGGTACCCATTTTCTCTTGTTGATAAAAAATGATGTTCAAGTGAAAAAAGTTTGATATTCACTGCCTGTGTTGTATTTTTTCTCTTATCTTTTAGGTCATGGTGTAAAGACAACTGAGTCTCAAGTGACACGACGCAAGAGCTCCAGAAAGTTAAAACCACAGCCACAAGATACTCAAGCAGCTAAGGGCAGCATGCGGCAACAGTTCTACAAGCGTCCAGCTATAAACACAAAACCTCCACCCCCTCCAGTACCACCCCCAATGCCCCCATCTGTACCGCCTGGAACAATCGTTGAAGCTGAACAACCCCCACCATACCCCACTATACCTACCACCCCTCCCCCTCCGGAACCTCCATTCTCTTCGGGTAATGATGCCATGGTTGCACCCCCACCCCCACCACCACCACCACCACCACCACCCTCTGCAGGTCCATTTGTTCCATCACCTTCTGATATTCCCGCTCCTCCCCCACCCCCTGGGCCTCCAAACCCTCCCCACCCCCCACCCCTTGGAGGAGCATTGTTGTCCCCACCCCCACCTCCTCCTTTGCCAGGTGCAGATGGTGAACCTAACCTAAACTCACCAGGTGAGGCATTTTGTTTTATTTGCTGGTTTTCATTTGCTTCGCAACAGCATCCTTCATCATTTACTGCGATGATAATCTTTGCATATCTTAATTGTATGGTTTAACCTTGAATATCAACTTTTATTGACACAGTAACCCTTACATTAGCCTGCATTTCAGACAGAATTTATCATAGTGGGTAGTGTTTGCAAATTAATGCACAAACTGTTGTTCTGGACCTCAGAAAAACTGCCAGACTTTGAATGGTTGCCTGTGATTGTTCTTTCATGAACGTATCGTGTTATTCTGAAGAAACAGGAATAAATAGAAGCAGCAGTGATACCCTCCGGAAGGATAAACCAATCACAAGGGATGTTCCCATGCTTTGTGATTGGTTTAGTTCTTCCACTTCTGCCTGCCACTCCAACGACCCAGTTTTCACTTGATCATAAACAGCAAAGCTGTAAGCAAAATCAGAAGAATCAGAACGCTGTTTTCAGTAGATCATAGAGTTCTACGCTTCTGATAACAACTCTGACTCCAACTCCGACTCCATCACTAGTGAAAACTAGCCTTTACTGAAGCTATCTTGTGGCAGTAGTACTTTATTTGACAATAACTTCATATAGAAATCTGAAGACTACATTAATTTGTGAACAAGTTCTCCTCAAAGTTCTTCAAGAAACGTCTGGAAAACAGTGCAGCTTTAAGTTAATGTAATGCCTATACTACGTACTAAATATGTCTGAGAGACTAAACCCATTGTATACAATTTTTTTTTTT